TTGTTCCAATGTTATGGAATCACCCAGGACCCATCCACCAATGAATACTGTTTGGTGATGGACTATGCCAAGAACCACGACTTGAGAACTTACCTGAATAATAATTACAAAAATATGAATTGGATCTCGAATAAATTACAAATCCTTGGTAGCCTGGCAAGAGGATTAAAATTAATTCACGACGAAGGATTTACTCATGGGGATTTACACTCAGGCAACATATTAATTGGAGATGATGAGATGGCAAGCATCACGGATCTTGTTCTGTCACCTAATTATGTTGGCGAAGGTGGATTGACCAAGGATGAGCCGAAAGGAATGTACGGCGTGCTCTCATTTGTCGCACCGGAAGTATTACAATGCAAGCCCTACACCGCTTCAAGTGATGTATATAGTTTCGGGATCCTCATGTGGACTTTGACTTCTGGAATGTCGCCGTTATCGAATTTTGATTTTACAACGGCTCTAGCGGTAGATATTTGTGACGGCGAGAGGCCAGAAATAGTTGAGGGGACACCTCAATGTTATGTAGATCTCATGGAAAAATGTTGGGATTCCGATCCTAAGAAGAGACCGACTGTTGATGAAATCTGTGAGCTAGTGTACAAGTGGTATTTCTTGGAGAAAGATCATGAGCAGTTTAAGAATTCCGACGATGACAATGGAAAAGGTTCAACGAAACCAGAGAAAAGTAAAAAGGTAATCGCCGATGAGAAGTTCTACAGTCAATTTATCGATTTAGAAGCGATCTCAAAAATTGAAAGATTTGAAGAATTGGATGGTATGCATGCATTTCCTATTGATCGGTTCTATTCGGGAACATCAAACTAACCTTTCCTGCTTTTTCATACTCTACCCTATAACTTTGCCTTTGTCAAAGAATTATATACTCAACCTTAAATTCTGAGGCCTATCAGTTATCTATTTTCATCATATTTATGTATTTATTTCGATAATCTTCTTGTTAATTAAATAAAGGATACGTGTATCATTCTGTGGTTCACATAAACGTGCTTTCCGATATTGAAAAGATGGCACGCAACGATGGAATAAATAAAAATCGTACACGCACTAACTACTGTATATAGTAATGCAAATAAGTAAATAGAGGAAACGAAATCTCACTTTTTGAGATACCTCGCCTCGCATACATTTAGAATTCTTGGGTGAAAATCGGATTTTGACAAGTCTATGTAAAATCGGTCGCAACACATCGTTTTTGTACAATATTAATCTGCTCGCTAAAACTCGTTCTACCAAGGCCAAATTCTTCCTTAGAAAAGACGTGAACTTTTTACTGAAACTAGAGAATCAGCAAAAGTCACTCGAAAGGTCAACTAATAACAGTATTGAACAAGAAAATTTCGTTGTTTGCGGTAGTGACTCGAAATAATATATTGCTTTTTACCCGACTTTCCAATGGCATCCAATACTCTCAGATTTGCTAGCGTTACGTAGAAGTTATACATCTTTCTGCCAATAAAAAATCTACACATCTCACATTTGTCCTTTCTCCTTCGCCAACGACCAATTTGTTAACGCAAGTTTTACTTGCACATCATTCAGACTTCCTTTTGGCCTTTGAGTTCGATTTCTCTTAAATTCCTCGAGTCCATTTTCTATCAGAGATAGACCTATTGCAGGCTAATTAGACATGCAGAATATAATGTTATTCAAATCTACATGTTAATTGTAAATTTTTAAAATCTCTATGCTAATTATAAATCAACCAAATCTAAATATTTTCAATATGACAAAACCAAGATGTGCTTTACCCCCCTAATTTTTAGCAGTAAAAAATCCCATTCCTAAATATTAAATTATAAAATTTACTGACAAGTCATTTAATTATCAAATACAGTAACTCATACATTAAATAAATCATACAGTTAAACAAATATATAGATCTCCATGACAGAATATGATGTGATTATCCTTTGTAAAGATTTTAATTATACATCATGCTACAAATATACAAGTATTTCTGCTTTACAGTTTCACCTGATTAATCAACCTTCACAGGCTGTAAGGTTATGTTGTGCTCTCTTTCTTCCAGATCGAAACGTAATTTTACGCAAAGTAGACATTTGAGATGCTTATTCAAAAATAGCTCCTAAATATCCAAACAACAAAGTATTGACACATTTTCTTATTGTTCAAACTTGAACTCTTGCATATTTTCACATCGCAAAAATCTTTATCGTGATATTATGCGCGAAAAAGTACGCGAGTAAAACAATGATCCCGCATATGTTAATGTCAAATTGACGTGTTTTATTTTCTTTATTTTTTAAGGGCTTGGTATTATGAAACATTTTCTACAACATTTAGTAATTAATCTAATTAAATACATTTGTAATTTGCTAGAAATTTTGCTTTTAAAAAATATTTGTTCTGGTTAAGCCTTTTAATAGACCTTTACTCATTAAACACCAATGTTCGCTGCAAAGTTTTTATCAAATTTCCCATCGCTAAACTGCGCGATTGACATCTTCGCTATTGGTATGGAATCGAAAGAAGAGCCTGTAGTTGAAGTTGGTATTACCATCACGTAATCACCGCTTTTTATGGCTGACCTCCGAGGAATCTCTTCAAAACTACTCCGAGAAACATATCTCTCGCCATACGAATATTGACTTCCTGTCAATATGCTTTCCAATCCAAGGTTTTTGAAGTTGACATTGTTCATGTTGGTACAATCAATCACCTCAACATCATCAAAATAAATTTTATGACCTCCGTCGGTGAGCCCCCTCAGCCTTTGCTTATCACGTCTTGAATAACCCTCGATCAAAGCCAATTGCGGTTTACCAATTAAACTACTGAATCTGATTTTCGCGTTATCATAGAAAGTTCTTATTATCTCGTTGAGTCGACGAACTTTGACGGTTTTCGGGACATCATCATTGTAGTTACGATGAGCATGTGTTTTTTCTCGCATACTACATTCAACTCCATTAATATCGAATTTCCGTAATCATTAAGTTCAAAATCTTGCAACCCATAATTACCTGTAAGCAAACATATAAGCCATATCAAACTTAACCTAAAGAAACAATTCATAGATAAGTTTAACTGAAATTCTCATACAAACAGCAACAATGAGTTCAAATCTCTAAAGGAAAGAAGCATACAATCTCTAACAAACTCAAAGTATCCTGATGTTCCTCTTCAGTTTCTCCACAAAATCCCGTAATAATATCGGTGCTTAATGATACATCAGGTATTATATCTCTAATTGTATGCACAAGGTCTAAATAACTGCTCGTAACAATCGAGTTACAAAAATAAATCAATCAATTTTTGAAATAAACACATGAAATTTTTTTAAAAAAAATAAATAAAAATAATAGTATACTCACGCTTCACGTGAATACCCTCTCCTCATTCTTTTAAGCACATTTGTATTCCCTGATTGAACCGGTAAATGAATCTGGTTACATATATTCGGGCGCTCAGCAATTAAATTTAATAATTCAATCGGAAAATCTTTCGGATGTGGAGAGGTAAATCTTATTCTCATCTTTAAAATAGGATTCGTAATTCATGCTTGAATTCGTTTTCAGTAAGACTTTAACAAAAGAAAAAACACTTCACATCTACCTCAGGATCCACCAAAGACACATTGTCCAAGAGCTCGGTAAATCTAATTCCTCCTTCTTTCCTTCGATAAATTGTTTTAAACCCTTCATTACTAAGCCCATCGCCGACGCCAGTTGGATTATAAAAATTATATTCCTTAGTGTCTCTGTATGAGTTCACATTTTGTCCAAGAAGGGTGACTATTATGCAATGGTGTTTATGAAATTCTTATATAATTTGTCGAGGACCAAGTAGGTGAATCAACTCATAACAAGAAATCTTGGGTAATGACCTTCTTTTACACCTTGTTTGCTCAATGTTTTTACCTCTTCTATTATCGAAGGATACATAGGTCTACTTCTCTCGATCCCTAATTTCAAACTCAGGTCAGAAGCATTTCGTCGTCCGGCAACAAAAGGACGCTCATGAATTACCTCTGTAATATGGTACAATTAAAATAAATTAATAAATAATAAATGGTGTACTCAGAATTCTAAACCTCAATATACCTTGTGTGAGGCACTATGCAAAACGAACACATGTTATTGCAACCTCTATAAAATAAATTTTTCTTATTAAAGAGACTAAGATAATTTTTATGGTCACCGTATAGTCGCGAAAAAACGCTATTCCAAAAGTCGTCTTTTTAGAAATAAAAATGCGCATTAAAAAATTCATGATCAATAGTCGTTATTTTTGACAACCGTGTTTAGAAAATAGCCTTTTTCAAAAATTTCACGCGTTTAATACGCGTTATCTTGCGACTATACGGTATTTCACAAACTCATAAATTCAAACCTCATGATGCTCAAAAAAGCGCTAATATTTCCGTTATGCAATCTAACAGGCATGATGTCAGCATAAGTTTCGTCTGCAGACAACATAACATTAGCAACGCCTTGAGAATTTTTAATTGCTAATGATAATAGATGCGGTATTGATCGATATGCATCCGGCCCACAGACAATATCAACCAATTTGTCGGCATCAAGAAGTTTCGTCTTTAGTCTTTCTGCCATGCACTGTACAAGCGAATTATTAAATCAATTAGTTCGAGTGAATAATAATAAATGCAACGACTAGCAATTCGAAAATTTAAAGGTAACTCACCCCTAAAACTCCAATCAAATGTCTTTTATCTTTTTCTAATTTAGAATTGATATTCCTCAATGCATTCAATCTTTGCCAAATTTTACTTTCCGCTTTATCCCTTATTGCACACTTTGAATAGAGAAATAACGGTTGTTAAGTAACCTGAAATCCTTTAAAAATTACCAATTCACTTTGAAAATATAAGATTACCGTAACCAAGAAAATAATATCCGCTTCCGCTAATTTTTCGGTTCTCAAGTACCCCGAATCATTCATAATGGATATTAGTATTTCTGTATCGTTGACATTCATCTGGCATCCATATACTTCGACATAATATTTGGTATTTTTCCCTAAACTTTTGACGTCTACGTCGAAATACGGAATTTCACTGGGCACTTGATCTCCCGAATCTATGGGATTCCATGTTGGTTTCACATTCTCTTGGGATATCAATTCTCCGTCTATCGTTGTTGCACTATTCTCTATAGAAGAAAGCGCTGCTGATTTTAAAAATTCTTCAAAGGAAGGAGAACTATTGTCAAAAACCAGATGTCGTTTTGGACTTTTTTTCGCGGTAAACTGTGTAACAGGTTCGAGCGAAGCATTTTGGTGGAGACATCGAGAGCCTATACTTCGATTTTTGTAAAATAAGTTATAACGAAAATATACAAATCTAGGTGCTGTTCTACTTTTGAGTGGAAAGAGTTTTATGAAAGACGCCATCTTTGATATTTTAAAGTATTCATCTCTTTTTTTAGTGATCCATCTGATTCTAACCTCGTGATCTGTCGATCAGTATAAAATAGCGATTTAGATGCGCAGTCAACTAACGACACGAAAACATCGAGTTATACAACTGATCATGGCATATTCGGCTGTTTCTGTCGCTCAGATAGAACAAGTAATTGCCATTATTATACTCTTCTCTTCAAAGGTCCCGCATCCTAATGATCTACTAACCCCTTTTTCTTTAAGGTGATATCCCAACTTTATGGCGGCGCCGACCCACAATTCCAAAAGTCAGCGCAAGAATACATACAGAACTTTCAAAAACAAGAATATGCATGGGAATTAGCCTCTCAGCTATTAGCCTCACAGGTTAGTCTAGCGATTTATACATTTTGTCTCAAGATATGCTTCCTAATGTTAACTTTCTTAGTCCGTAAATTCACAATTCATCGGCGCACACACTTTTCAAGTCAAAATCTCTAGAGACTGGTAAATAAAAATTGCATTGATTTAATTATAAAATTTGATTATACAATTTTCTATTTGGAAATAAGGAATACTTTATCCTTGGAGAAGAAGAAATGGATTCGCACTGAACTCCTTGGATGGATCGTACAACTATCCAATGGCCCTAACGTAGTTATAACAAAGTTGTGCCTTTCCGTAGGTTTTGAACTTTCCATTTTCATCAGTCTTCCACTTAAATTTGAATATAGTGTTAAATCTTCAATTATGCATAGCTCACTGCTTACGCTTTGCAAGCTGTACCAGACATATGGTCAAACTTCATATCCGATTTCTTTGAAACATTGCACTCCGGAGCTTTAGCAGCTTCAGCACAAAATCCTGATCGACCTTTACATGTTGAATTACCCCTTCTTGAGTTTATAACCGTCGTTCCTGAAGAAGTGTTGAGAGCAGATCTCATAGGAGAACGAAAGTCAGTGATGCTCAATAATCTGAATGGAAATATTACTTTGCTTTGATTAAAAAAAACTTGATTTTTCTCTCTTACATTAGAGCTAAAGTCAATCAGGAGCTTATTGATGAAATTCCAAGAGTACTTTCAACTTTGAAATCCTTGCTATCGAGCTACCAAGCCCATCAAGAGCGAGATATTCAAATAAAGCAAAAATGTTTAAGGTGCCTGCAAAGCTGGATACTATATGGTGTTCCATTTGAGTAACGTACTTGTTTCTTTCTGACTTGCCTTATGCCTTATGCTTTTTCTTATTCCCGTCAATTGACTTATAATATATTTCTAATTATCAAATAGATCTTTGTATCCTCTGATCGATGACGTTATAAATCTTTTTCCAATCGATTTTACCAATGACTCGGCAACTGAAGTACTTGTGGAATTCCTGTCACAACCTCGAATCACATCATATCAAAACACCGTCTGTGGAAAGATTCTTGATTGTTTGACTAACGAATGGGCAAGAACTCAAATTATGACAGCTGTCAATGGTACTGTTCCTCTTCACCATTATTCTACATTTTCCAAGATCATCGGATTATTATTTATAAATTCACGCCACAGATGCGAATGAGGCGCCAGCAAGAAATCTCTGTCGCTTAATGACGACATTTGGAGATAATTTCTCTAATTACCTTGCTATCCATTTCCTAAGACAAGACGTCATGATTTATCTTGAAATGATGCTGATGTTTACAGGATTCCCAGGTTACTTTGGTCAAGATCAAGAGATATCCTTATTTTTTTCGAATAATCAAAGATAAAAGTACATATATTTTTATTTCCGTAACAACGATTTTACATTAGCGAAATGCCTTTACAATTCTGGTACTTACTACAAGAGTCCATAGCCGACTCAGATGTAATTCCGATGAATGATGATAACGGTGAGAACGCTTCGATCACCTTGCAAGAAGCTCAAAAAATACGTGAAGCATCGATTGTAGTTTTCCGAAGACTGTCCGAGATTTTAAGAAGTAAAGTGCAATATCCCCCTGACAACGAATGGTCAGAATGGTTGAAAGGTACCTATTTCTCAATCGAATATTAAATTAAATATAATCAAGAATTGTTATGGTAATCACGACTGATTTGCAGATATCAAGGAGCGATTCAAGATTTATAGAAGAGATGTCGGAGACACAATAATGAACTCATATTATATATTGCGAAATCAAATGTTGGCTTTTCTCGTGGATTTGGCAGTCATGCAAATAAACACCCCAGGAAGAGACCCAAGCCAATGGCAGGTACATATCGCAACAGAGTTCATTATGATTCCTATCTGTTGCATATATTGTATACATTTCTTTTACATCCTTCCTCATTCAGGACTTGGAATCTACACTGTTTTGTCTGAATTCAATAGCCGAGGCTGTTGACCACAAAGAGGATATTTTCCTGCCTAGTTTATTTGGAACGGATGTATATGAAAAATTACCTACTCAAGGAAATTATCGTTTGAGGAATACGGCCTTGTCTCTAATCGGTAACTCGACTGTGCCTACATAGTCCTTGTTGATTTTAAATAATTTATGATCCGTATTTTCATAGGTTCCTACGCAGAATGGCTCAAGAATCATCCTGGACACATATCATTTGTTATGAATTATATTGTACCTGCCCTAAGCGATCCAGAGACAGCCCTGGTGGCCTCCTTGTCGTTCAAAGAAGTATGCGATGTTTGTCGAGATTCTCTGGCAAATAATATAGATGAACTTATGCACATGTACATAGTGGTTGGGCCTCATATTCAAGTATGACTTCTGTTGATCCATGGATGTTTATGGGAACTTTATTAGATTATAATGAGACTTATTTTTTAAGCCCAGAGAAAAACAAAAGGTCATCGAATCGCTGGCAGATGTTATACAAACGTTGCCGCCTGAAAAAATGCCGGTGCCTTTGTCGGTAAAGGAATTTATTTTGCATATCAATTTTTGATCGTATTACCATGGTAACATTGCTAGATCTAAGCAGATCGTCACAGATAATATTATTCAGACGCTGCGCGATGCTATAGTATTTGGAAAACAGGTCCTGATTATAAATTTATTTTTCACGTCTCTATCAATTAACTTTGTTAAATTTAGGAATTCATCTGTATTTATTTGTACTCTATTAAAAACAGAACCCTCCTCAGTATAAAGAGATAGCAATAACTCATTTAGAATATCTGACCTGTTGTTGTCGTGGCATTCAACCACCCGATGATGAGGTCATTGTTTTGGATGAAAATGAACAGGATTCTCTAAAGAACGTGGATATTTCCTTACCACAAACGAGACTTTCAAACGCTTTGTCGGAGATTTCCAGTAATATTACCGAAATATGGTACCTGGATAACGAAGTTATAGAGGTATTGATGATTCAGTATTTTATGAAAATTTATGTGGTACATTTTTGTGAAACAAAAAATTTATGTCTTGTTTAGTGCTTGTGCAAGTTTCTCAATACTGGAATTCGAACCACTGCAAATCTTCTTTCCGTTCCCTTTGACATGATCATTTCCATAATAAGAATCTCTTATCAGAGAAGTCCACATTCTTGTTTGTTAGATACTGCTGCTCAAGTTGTAACGGTATTTGGATCTAATAGTAGATATGGTAATGAGATAAGAAATATGTTGGGTGAGATTACCACAATCACCATACAGCAATATGTGAGGAATCAGGCGGGTGCGTATGAAATGAGATTATCGTGCAAATTTAAGGACTGAAGTTTAATTTTTTTCTTATTCATATATAAAATTAGACATGGAAAGATATCCTGATTTAGTGAACTCATACCTCACAATCCTGACCAAAGTAATATTTTTACGCTTTCAATGTTCTCCGAAACGTTCAAATCTCTTCTGACTATTTCTTTATCCAGTCTCTCCAAAAATGTCCGATGTTATTATATACATTACCTTCGGAATTGTTCAATAACATAATGAAATTTTCCATTGCAGGATTGGGCCTGCAGGAAAGACTGGCACTAAAATCCGCGGTGACTTTCATGGTGAGTTCTATTGGTGTTGATGATTTTGTTATTTTATTTTAAAGTGATAATAAATTTACCGAAATAATCGGAAAGAGTGAATTCGTCGGTCAACATTATGAAGACGAGCAATTATCGAAAGGGATTGAGAATGTAATAATGACGTATGGTATGGAGATCATGAGAGAATTGATTTCGGTAAGTTTCAGTGACTTGTTCTTGAATATGATGCGAATTTTGCTATATGTTTGACTTGATTTTTTCGCACAGGGCATTGGTGGGAAATTACCTAGGTCATTTGTTATTTCACTGTCTCACGTGTTATATAAAATGACCGGTCGTTACATAGAAGCTAGTAGAGAATGGCTTAATACATTACTATCTCAGGTTTGTGGACATATCAACTAATAATTCCGTCGCTTACCATTCATTCTAAACCTTTTTAAAAAAAAATCTTTTCTATAGAAAGACTTCCCATCATCACACGTAGATTTAATTACAAAACAAAATTTCGCCAAAGCAATACTAGGGTAAATGCTATATATATAAAACTTAAATTTAATATTATGTTAAATTTCAATAACATATCTAACATAATCACTCTTCTTTATAGCACAAGATCTCTTCAGAGGTACAAAGAAGTGGTCACTGAATTTTCGATTAAATGCCGGGATTTGGAAGATTCCGCATACGGACGTTCATGAGTAACAAATTATGACATTGACTTGTTTTTTTCATTTGAATTTCAAATTTTTAATATAATAGACATTGGATTATATTCAAATAATTTTAATTTTAAACTCGGTTACTTAATGACTGGATTTTTTACTAAATGCTGAATGTATATTATATAGAAGACTCATTTGAGCATACAAATTATTTATTTGTGAAATTAAAATTCTTTTTTTTTTGTTTTTGAAAGGCATTAAATGCGCGGTTTTTATTAAACTTGAAGTTTGTTACCATTACATTAAAGATCTTCTACATTAAGTAGTTTTGAATTTAAAATTCTTAAATTAACATATTCTTGAAATCATGATGTAAAGAAATATTTTTTTATTTTTTCAATTAAAATGATTTAGATTTTGTTTATAAATAACTTCATTTTTTTAATAAATGAAATAAAAAGATAAATAATTTTATAACATAAGAAAAAAATCAACATTTCTTCATAAAGTTTTAAGAAATAATTTCCTGGAATACTTTAAAATATTTCTAAACATTGACTTCAATAGAAATCAAATAATTTAATTGGTTACAAGTGATGAAAAATTCATATAATAGCTATTATTAAAAGTATTGAATTTCGTTCAAACTAAGTAATAATCTTTTCAATAATAGCATAATTTTGTAAAATTAAAAATTAATTAATAATATTTTTTATTAAGAAACTTAATAAATTTCTAAATATTTAATATTAATAAATACTAAAAAAAAAACAAAATTTTTTATTTTATAACAGTCGTTTAACTAGTTTAAATATTAAATATGATAAAAACATTTTCAATAATATAATATTATAATTATAAAAAAATCTATTTGTTTTTTTTTTTGTTAATATTATAAGATTAATATTTTAATTATCAAAATAAACAATAATTAATACATGTTTTTTTTTTAAATAAAAATATTTTTCTTGTTTATTTGTTTTTTTTTTTTTTTATACTAATAGTATATGCTTTATTTTATTATTATTTATTTTTTTAACTAGCAAAGCCTTGTTTAACATATTTTATTTAATTTATATCTGTATTTCTTATTACAAGACTTACTATTTATAAAATATTCTAGATGTATGTTGTGCTATATTAATATATTCCATATTGACTTGTTGCTATTAACTGTTTTTCTAACATGTATCAAGATTAATATGCCAAGGTTTCATTAGTATTATTATTATATAAGTAATAAAAATTAAAATTAATTATATTATTTTTTCAATTCAATTAGTTCTTTATTAGTTTTTCTTACAATTTTTCTACTTTTTCCATTCTTTCCAATAGTGATCTGTATTATATTATATTCTTGAATTAAATATTAACTTGTTATTCCTTTCTTTTTTTTTTTCTGATTATGTTTTTCTTTTCTTTTCATTATTGAAATCTGATATATTTATAGTTTTAAAATTTATAAAATTCTTTTGTTCTGCAGTTTATAATTGTCCTTAGTATATCTTTTATTAATTTGTTCTATCAAATTGATTAGACCTTTTTTATAAATATCTTTGATTATATATTTAATAGTTTTTCTGAATCATTTATAATATATTGTATATACTATAAGTTGTTCTTTCTAGTTACTTGTTTCTTAATGTTTTTCTATTTTACTAAATATTTTTTTTCAATACTTGTATATATATGATTCTAATCTTGTTTCTATAATATTTATTAAAAATGTATTCTGTAATCTTCTATCTTTTGTATCAGAAATATGTCTTATCTTTATATAAATTAAATCTTCTTTTATTTGATCTACTTTTAATAGGAAGCTCTTTATTAAGCAGTTTATATCTGAATACTTTATTATTATTGTTTTGTTAATTAATATAAAAGCTTGTGATTTTTAATAGTAAAAGACTTGCCTATGTTTTTTTCCAATCTATTATTTTCTCATTTTCTGTTTTAAGCTATACTTTATGTCTTTTTTATATAGCTCATATACTAATTTATTTGCTATTTTGCTATTGCTTTATAAATTTATTAATTTATATATCTAGATTCTTGTTCTTCTATTAAGTATTTCTATTATATATTTTATTTATTGAACAAAAATATTTTATTATCAATGAAGAAGAAATTTTGAGTCAAATAAAGCAATACTATCAAAAAGCATTATGAAAGTACAACAATAACTATGATATATTAGATGATTAATGGAAAAAGCAATATGAACCCAAAAATAAAATACAAGACAGTTGATATAAAAAACTGAAAGAAAAAATCCAACCAGAAAAGCTGGAAGAAGCTTTTCAAGATCTACTAAAAAACAAAGTAGCAGGCCCTTCCAAAATCAAATATGAAATGCTCAAGAGATTAGAATCCTAAGCCAGAAAAGTCCTACATAACTTTTTCAACTTATTTTTTAAACAGAAACATATGCTAACATTTTGAAAGAACAGCTTTCTATATCCGATCTCCAAAAAAAAAAAAATAGCAAGAAAAACCCAACAATACCATATTAATAATTCTACTTGAAACAATATAAAAATGGTTTACCAAGATCTTCAATAACTGATTAGTATTAAATATACAAAAAACACAATATATTCAAAGGTTCCAACTTTACAGGTTTTTTAGGAAAAAGTACTTCTAATCCAATCCAATTGCTTAATAACATCTATAAGGAAGCTCATGAAGAAAAAAAAAATTATGGATTTTACTACAAAACACTGCCAAAGCATATAATACAGTTAATCTAGAAATGCTAAAACAAGCATTTCAAAAAATAAAAGTATCAGAAAAAATCACCAAACTTATCCTGAATCTCTTTGAACAAAGAAAAATTAAAGTTATCACAAATATAGAACTCACTAAGAAAGTAATAATAGGAGATAATATAAATTAAAGAGAAATGATTTTCCCACTCCTTTGAAGAATCTTCTATGATTTCTTATTGTATAAAATTCAAGAAAACGAAACACTGGGCTATTTAATAAATTGCTCCTAGACATCAAATCTTAACAAGCTATCAAATAATTCAAGCTTAATAGAAAACTTATTTCTCAGGCAAGCAACAATTGCCTATATGAACAATATAATATACAGTATATAGCCAGATCTCAAAAAAACATGAAACAAATTCTTAAAAAAGTCAAATGGTTTTATATAGCAAATAATTTCCAAATCAATAGCAAAAAATTGGTTCTTATTACAATTAATAGCAACAACAAAGACCCAAATATAATTTATTGAGAAATTAAATAAGAAGATGTCAAAAAACTGAATTGTAGAAGCTATACAAGATTTCTGAACATACTGTATAATTAGGTAATAAAGATCAAATGAAAGACATTATTAATAGAATATAATAAGAAGTTCAAGAAATCCTATCAAATTTGAAAAAAAAATTAATAACAGACAAGTACATGGAGTATATTATTAATAGAATCTTGATACCTAAAATAGAATACAGAATATAACATAGTTCAATAAACTTCTATATAGCTAATTGTTTTTTGGTACAATTAAAAAAGACACTTAAAAGAATAGTCCATATAACAAAAACAATTCCCAACTCTGTTATATATTACAAACTTTTTTACAAAATCAAAAACATAAAGAAGATATAACTAGAGAACCAAATCATCAACTTCATAAACAGATTAAATAATTATAACCACTTATATAAATCCACTTTAATTAGACTCAAACAAGCATAAATACAATATTGAAAGTCAACAAACCTTTTTACCAAAAATATTGTTAACAACAATTACAAAAGAAATCTTTTAGCACAAATACTCAAGGCAGTAAACAAAATAAGAATTACATTTTCAAACTCTCAATGGACAAATATATTTCAATGAAAAGAAAAGTACATAATAATCAAAACTCTTCTAAACAACTCATCCTCTTATAGCAAAGCAACAAAATCTCTAAAAAAACATAACATCATGTTTATAGATCAGTTAATAGATAAGAAATACAATATACTTCTAAACTGGAAAATACTATAATTTTCAAAAAACAAAGACAAGAATCCATACCAATATAATATCAATCTAAGAAAAAAATATTAGAAAATAATTATAATATCCTCAAGTAAAAATAGATAGAATATAATTTGATTTCCCAAAACAGACTACTCTTTACACTCAATAAAAACATAAATTACAGGAAATAGAACTGACAAGTAAATACAAATAATAATAAGAAATAAAAACTGGTCTGGTTTATAAGTAAAAGCATATAAGTAACAAACAATCGAGATATAGAATACTTTCAGATTGAAGTAGACAAAAATCCAAGTACAATCAAATTTACAAAAATTGAAGCTGATTAAGAACAAGTTATCAAAAACTCTATATTTGCCTTCAATTGAATAAACAAGATTGCCAAAAATAGAAAAAGCAAAAAGCCAATAATACCAATCAAAATGCATATATTGAAATATACATGTTGCTAAAATTCATAGATCCTTGATGCAATTGATGCAATTATTTGATGCAATTAATTAAGTCATTATTAAAACATATAAATAATTGAGTCATGGTGCAATTATTTTTGAGGATTTTGGGAATTGAGTTAACAGCAAAATAATTTATACCACATGTATATATTAAAAAGTCAAGCCAAAGCAAAACTGGAAGAACTTTGTCCTAACAATACAAACACATTCAAACTCCAACATATTGAGATACAGTGGTCGCAGAAAAGATTTGGACTTTTCTCGTGACTAATAAAAAACTTGTAAAATAGACTTTATTTGTACAAAAATTTGTGAAAATGACAACAATTGTCATAAAAAAAAAATACATAAATATCAATAGTCCGATTTTTTTCCCTCCTTCTCAATCACTTGTTCAAGATGGTTTTTCATACTACCAGCTAAATTAAGTTAGAGGTATTGATCTAAACCATCCCATTCTTTTTGAATAATCAATTGAAAATCAGTAGTACTAAGTTTTTTTTTTTTTTTTATAAGCCTATTGTTTACGGTTTTCTCTATTTTATTTTTTAGTATCGCCTATAGGTTTTCTATGGGA